TTAATAAAACATATTGATAAATAAATTTTAAAAAATCTTAATAATAAATAAGCTGATAATAATACAGTGCACTTACGGTTCCAATCATATGTTGAATTAAATTAAATTTAAAAAGCCCCATAAAATCAAAATTGCTTATATTGTATTTTGATATAAAACTCTTTTTATGATACTTTTACCTGCAGTACCAGAAATCAGCTAAATTTGCTACTTTTAATTATTCGCCTCTACACCGACTACAGTCCAGTAGGCTATTTTTGCAGTTACAACCCTTTCTATAACTCCGACACATAAACCTCAATAAACAAGGCCGCTGCACGAGAAGCAAGTTGACAATCAAGTATATTATCAAAACTATAATGCAAGTAACAAAAAAAACAACAAAAATTTTGTTCTTATATTGTAAATATTGGTAATTTAGCTAATTCCTGATACTGGATGTAACAATAAAATATATAAACAATATAAATAATACATATATATATATATATATATATATATATATATATATATATATATATATATATATATATATATATATATATATATATATATATATACACACACACACATATATAAATAACAAACAACAATCGATCGATTAGACTAACGCAGTATCCTTAAAGGCATACTCACTGGCTTACTTAGCCAGTTACAACAAAACTTAGAAACTACATATATATATATATATATATATATATATATATATATATATATATATATATATATATATATATATATATATATTAGGGGCATGAATTATGATTATGAATAACATATTTGTATTATTATATTTTAATACAAAGATGTCTTATATTAACAAGTGTATAATGCAGGCCTTGTTTTAAAGCGTTACGCCTAGAGCAATTTGCGTACGCCTTAAGCGATTTTTATGTACGCGTAGAGCTGTTTTGGTTAAGCTACTTTTTATCATTTTTTAACTTTTAAATTAGAGGTAACATTAAAGAAGTAATTAATTAAAAAAAAAAAACACATTAACTTTTAAATAATGATATGTAAAGATATTTATTTAAAAAAAGAATTTACTTTAAAAATAATTGTTGTAACTTTTCATCGCGATATATCTTTCCTTTTTATAGCAATTAATTTGACGCTAAACTTTTTATCCAAATATTTAGCAACATGAAAAATTGTTTGTCAATCCTTAACTACAAATTTTTTGCAATGTTTTTAATAAAAAATAGTAATTTTTTAAAGTTTTCAGTATAAAACTTTTAAAAAATCTATATTCCATATTTATTAATACAGAATATAAATGTTTTTTGTAATATAGATTTTTTATGAATTTTTTACTGAATTTATAATAAAAAACATTTGCAAAAAAATTTATAATTAAGAATTGACATTTTTTTACATATCTCAAAAAATGTCTTATTATTTTTGTTATCATGATAACAAAAATGTCAAGACATTTTTTCGAGATATTAAAAAAAATGTCTTTGCTTTTCTTAATAGTTAAAGGTATATAGATACCTTTACCTTTAAGTTACGCAGGGGCAGGGGGTCGGCACAGAAAAAAAAAATTACCTGTTATTCGCATTATTTGAATGAAGACAATTAGTTAAATTTCTTCTGCGTGCGATTCAATAAGTTTTTTTTTTTTCATAAATCAAGTTATATTATAAGGTAAAGAAATCATGAGTAGACTACAACATCCGCTGATGACACTAATATTACGTTGAATATAATTATATAACGGAGGTTTTATTATGCACGCGCATATTACAGGTTCCGTTAAATAAATACTAAAGCACGTTTATAAACAAACTAGTATATAAAAACCTTGTATATTTCTATTATCTCTAAATTGTTTAAAGTTCAAATATGGATTGTATTTTGAAGGACAAAAGATTTACTTTAAAAACTTTTAAATCTTGGGACTTTGCCGATGTGATGATCACAGAAAAAGAGAAGACTTACGTTATTAAAATCAAATGTAAGTTATGTGATCTTCATCAAAATAAAATATCCAAAAACATGGGTGCCGTATAAAATAAAAATATAGTTCAATAAATAAATTAAATTTGTTCTTAACAAAGATTACCTCATATTTATTCTTTTTTTATATTTTATTAAGTTGAATTGCTTACAAACGAAAAAAAAAAAGAGTTTTGTAATTATAGGTAGAATGAAAATACTTTTGAGTTTGTTTATTAGTTAAAGAACTTAATTTTTAATAAACAAATTTTTACAAACGTTTATTATAAACAGATACGATTCAAATTATTAAATATACTTAAATTATTTCAGTTGAGTATTTTTTTAAGTTTGCACGATTAAAGTTTTGCGTAGAAGTATTTGTTTTTTTGTTTTAAGAATAATTAACAAAAGAGTTTGCATGATTAAGACTTTTATATTTAATTTTATATTTAATTTTATATTTAATATTTTTTAATAATTTAATAATTTAATAATATTTTAATAATAATTAATAATAATTTAATAAAGTAAATAATTTAATAATAATTAATAATAATTTAATAATATTTTTTAATAATTTAATAATTTTATATTTAATATTTTTAATATTTAATATTAGACTTTTATATTTAATTTTAATTTTTTTTTTTTAATTTCCTAAAATTTAAAAAAAAAAGATTTAATTGTTAAAAACGATTTTTCTCAATAGCTTTATTTCTTTGTGATTTGTTTAAAAAGTAAAATTCGTTTACAATAACATAAAAAATTTATGAATTAAATTCCTGGCGAACGCGTTCTAAACTATGTATAAAAAATATGCTCAAAGCAGACAAAACTTTTTTATATTTTTATAAGACGCATGTTGAAACGCTAAGCAAGATAAATTTAAA